ATAACCATTATCCGCCCACATCGGGGGGAAGGGGGGGCAGCGCAAATCGCGGTAAGTTCCAACAACAGACAGGTGCGAGCGAAAATGGAATTAAATTTGGTATCGACAATTTTTCAATCAACTTGTCGTCAACGCGATCGGACTTTGCGAGACGCACACGTATGCGCGTGCGCGCGCGCGCGCCCTCGAACGACGATTTTTTTGTGAATGCGCGTCACGATCGTCGCTGGCGATATTTTATGCATTCGCGTGTAAAATCCTCGGCGAGAGAGAAGAGTAAGCTTGACTGTCGATTCTAACAATGCCGCGCGTCCCGATGGTATTTAACGGCCTGTGCTGTGTACGCGGCCGCCGCCACATCGATGGTGGCTGTTTTTCATCACGACGAAGTACGTTCGACGAAGTTGACTTTAGCGCCGCTGCGACGTGATTATTTAGCTGCGCCGTTGTGCTGAAGAAAGAGAGAGAGAGAGAGAGAGAGAGAAAGCAACAGAAAATACGAGACATGCAGCGGAAACCAGTCTCTGTGTATAGTCTCTCTCTCCGCTGGAACTGCTTGATAACGTAAAAGGCATTCGCCGGACGGATGAATATCGCGGAACGGTTTACGGGATGAAAATGGAACTACAATGGTTTGTCGGCAAACGTAATTCGGGATGGGGCTTTACGAGCGCGCTTCGCATGTATAATTTGCAACTCTATTCGCTGACATATCGATTCGACCGAGATAAAACGTTCTATGTTAAATATCTCCGAAACTCCGGACGGATGTTGTCAAGTGCTGACGCGAATTCAGCAGCAAAAGTCTTTCCATCTGGCGCAGTACAGTAGTTCGATGTAGATATATACATTTGTAACAAAATCGATTATCGGTTCTTCAGTTACCGGTTAATGACGTTCGACCGAAAAAGCAATTAGTTAATCCAAATATACGTTTCGCGATTACGATTGTTTCTTCGTAATGTGTAAAATGCACGATCATCAACGGACAAATTGATTTACATTTTTCTTCAGAAAAAATGAATTGGAACGTAAATTCTCGTTCTTATTGCGCGACGATGTGTTTTAGTTAGAATAGAGACGATTTCAATCGCAAAGCGATCTTCGAGAGAGATCAACGTTGTCTCTCGCATCGCACAAAAGCATAACGTCGCGTTTCGATCGGCGAATTCCTCGAATTTTCGAAATTAAAGACATCCCATGGATTACTTACTAGTGAAGAAACTGAGTGAATATGTAGTTTCGGTCAGAAACACGCAGAGTGAAAGAGAAAGGACAAGAAAGATCGGGCGCTTCCGGATACCGAACTATCTGCTTTAAACTACGAGGCCGCCTCTCGTAGCGAGTTTTTCTTCGTTTCGCGCATCACGATCAAACTCGGGCAGTTTCTTCCTCTTTTCTCTCTCTCTCTCTCTCTTTTCTCTCTCTCTCTCTCTCTCATCTCTTTCGGGCGGCTTGTTGATATATATATGTATATATATATATATATTTATTAACGAACTAACGTTTAGCCGTCGCAACGCCCTCGGCTAACAGAGTGAACAGAACCGGCGGAATAACGTGTTAGCTCGCTTACCGGAAAACGCAGCGTCGCCCGGCTGCCGGTTCGTCGGCTGCTCCGCAAACTAGGTGTGGCACTTTTCTACAACGATCACGGCTTTAATCGTGTTTAGTCACAGCGCGTCAAGCTGCACGTCGTTTCCTCGCAAATTGCGTTGGTGAAAATATATTGTCCCTCAAAGATGAGAGAGAGAGAGAGAGAGAGGAGCGCACCAGATATCCTCATAAAACACCGTCGTCACGAAGATTAAAGACTTCGCATAATACAACATAATATAGAGAATGTGTACCATCGATATATCTTAATTACGACGTGTGAAAAAAAAAAAAAAACTGGGACGCGCCATTTCGCGCGTATGAGTGATAAATACGATATCGGATCTTGTTTTCAGCTTTTTAGCGAGATATCACGCGTCTCACTCTTTGTTATGAAAAAAAAAAAAAAAAAAAATTCTCTCCAAATAATAGCTTTCTCGTGCGACGCGAGAAAAACATTGACTTATACGCGTGAACAAATTTTCACGTGTGCTCGCCGATAGATCGAAGTGAAGTACAATATATTCGCCGGGAAAATTATTCGTGACTTAAACGAGCGCCGTCACAGCTATCGCCATCATTACCGAGCACCATCGGCACACCACCGCGCCGCCACCATCACCGACGCTGTCGCTGCTATTATCACCGCACCACAACAACTCCCATCGGTACCAGGGGGACGTTACCGTTCGTGCTTCTGACACCGGGGCAATACACTGGCGACTTATGAATATTTACGCCGGTTGAATATGCATACTACTGACAATGTATTATTTTTGCTCGACGGGAGATCAATATACTACTGCGCGACCCACATACACGCGGAAGTAGAAAAGTGTACAACGCGAACGCGTGCGTACACAGAATTTGCGAATTTTGTCGCATCGAGTGTCTGACATAAATTTTTTTCGGCCAAATAATTGAAGATAATTTTATAAAAACAAGCGCAACAGAAAAAAATAAAGAGAGAACGTTATGTGTGTGTTTTTTTAAATATTTTTATCTTATAATTTAAAAACAATTTCAATTCAGACACGATGTAACTTGAAACTTAATTTGCGTTTGGAAGAAGATTTTTGAAAAACACGTATAAGGAATTTTGTAAAATGTTTTTATTTAAACTTCAAAAACCAAAAACTTGGGGCGAACTATTTATTATTTACGGTTGTTGTTGATGCAGGATAGAAAACTAAAAACAGCATATATGCACGCGTCAAGTTTACGTACATATATACGCGCAAATGCAAACGCATGCATACGCATGCACACGAAGCTATTTACGACATCGCGCATGTACGATCGTATTTCGCTGCAGCAACCGATGAAAACTCGTCGAACGTGACCGGAGCAACGACGACGATGAGCGCTATATTTTTTTAACCTGCATCGCTCTACCGATTTTCTACCGTGTGAAACGCGAAACTCGGTAGAGAGACAACGAATCGTGCGATTTGCAATCGATACAAAAGTGATTATACGGAGTATATGAAAAAAAAAAGAAAAAAAAAAAGATTGCAAACACATATATGTGTGTTGTTGAGCAAATTCTCACCGAACGTCGATATAGATCGATGTTCGGCCTAAAACGAAAAGGACAAAACGCGTCGTTTTTTCGCGAGAGAGACGCGCGAATTATTAGCAAGCGACTTATTTCGTTCTGACACTTTCGTCCCGCCCGGTGCATTCATCAAGAAACGATCATTGGCGCATTACGACTGCGCGCCGTGACCGACGTGTGGCACACCAGTACACAGGAATTAGCCATTAAGCGGAATGACGTGCGATTTCTCGAGAGACGTTTCCGCGGTGAAAGGAAAGGGAGACTCTTTGCCTGGAGAAATTTAATGCGCCTCGCGCACTCGAAAAAAAAAAAGGGAGGAGAGGGGAGGATCCTGCGGCACCGTAATTCAATTAGGCTCGCTGCATCGAAATTTAATGGGCCGCGACGCTGCAACTTCGTTTTGGATCGGTGCCACGGCGGCGTCCGTGTCCGATGCAGAAAGGGCACGTTGCGCGCCCTTTTGTGCCCCAAGGACCAACACAGGAAACTACCGGGAAAGAAAAAAGACACATTCGCCGCACGCAAACGTGCACCGAATGTCATTTAAATGTTTTCACGTATGCAAATGAGTTTTTTGTTTATTTTATTTTTTTTTTTTTCGAAAAGCTCAATTGTATATATTCGTAATAAGGTTCTCGTTTCTCTCGCGATATGGTATTTCAATGAATCGAAGAATAGCAATCAATAAAATGTGGGATGTCGATTTGTTAGACCGCGCGGCGTTTGAACCGGTGGTCGATGCTAGTAATTTTGACAAGAGTGGGGAATACTCGCCGTATCTTTGACGCGAAAAAAACAAGCGATAAGCGAGCTGCGTCTCTGCCGAACCGTTCGACGAGCAAGAAACTAAACAGTTGTTTTCCGTTGCTCCTTGAGCCGAGTAGTGACTTTTGTAATTTCATGTAAGCCAAGCAGTTATTTTCAATTGTTAATCAAGTTTTATCTTGTTTTGCATATCATTGGACACGAGGAAATTATTATTATTTTTTTTAAACAAATAATCCTACATAAATCTCACATAAAAAAAAAAATTTAAATTGAACTTACAAGAACAAAAAACCTTGACAACACGTTTTCTTTTTCTATCAAAAAGCGAGTGAGCGATGACAAGTGTCGAATGCTAACGTATTCAATTACTTCAGCTGACGTTTTCTGATTTATCTTCTGGTAAGTTCGTGATTTATTGAATGTGTGTGCAAGTGCACGATATTTTTTTCGAAACTTATCTATTAGCGCGAGGACATTTATTGCGGATTCGAGCGTAAGACGCGCGCGCGCGCGCGCGCGTTGCGAAGAGTAAATTGAAATCATCGCTACGAGAGATAATGTAATGTGTTTAACCGATGGGAGATTTTCTATTCGCTGGTTATTGAATAGGATATTGAGAAATCCTGATGAAGCCGTGACACTCGTTTCGTTTCTTTCCTCAAAAGGAAACGTCTCGCGCACATCTTGCGTTATTATTTGATTGGAAATTCTTGGATTCAATATGAGCGCGCGGCGATTTACGGAGCCTATAGGCGTGTAGAAGTTATTGCCCACAAGAGAGAGAGTGCACACAGCCAATATCGATTAAAGCTTAATAACGCGCTTTTAGAAATTCGCGGGCGGTTCGATTTCTCAATTTTCTTTCAAATCTTTTTCGTTTCAATGTTTCCCACAAATCTTTCCGCGCCCGCGCGCCCTTGCACATTTTCATTATATAAATTCTTCTAATTGTGTAAGTCGATAATTACCGCTATTATACTTTTGTCAAGTTCGTCGACGCGTACTTCGATTTGACGCATATATATATATATATATATATATCTCGCGAACAACAATTACATTTTGATACGCTTACCTTCGTTGTCGATGGAGAAGATGCCGACGCCATCGCCTCCCCGGATGCTGTACGCGATTCTGGAATCACCGCCGGGAGGATCCGCGTCCTTCGCGTGAACCGTGGTGACGAAGGTGGCCACCGGTTGATTTTCGAAAACGCTCGCCGATACGACGAAATCGTCGAAAACCGGCGCGTGCAGATTCTCGTTCACGTCCACCACTTCGATTATCAGCATCGTTTCGGATGACAAGGACGGCTCGCCGCGATCGCGCGCGACTATGATCAACGTGTGCACCTGCCGTTCTTCGAAGTCCAAGCTCTGAGTCGTTCTCACTGTTCCCGACATTTTGTCGACTTTGAAGTAGCCCTCGCTTTCCATAGCGTCTGACAGAAAGTATTCAACGTCGCCGCCCGCGCCCTCGTCGGGATCCGTAGCGTCCACAACGGCCACGACGGTCCAGACCGGCACGTCCTCCCGAATCTTGACGTTGTAACTCGAAAGAGCGAATCTGGGCGCGTTGTCGTTTACATCGTCGACCGTCACTCTGACCAGCGCCTCGGAATATAAAGGCGGGTTATCGGCGCCCTTGCCACCGTTATCGCGCGCACGGATCCTCAGCTCGTATATCTCTTGCCGTTCTCTGTCGAGTTTGCCAAAGACACTGAGAACACCTGTCACCGGATCGACCCGGAAGTCGTTGGTCTCTGTCACGAGCGAATAGGTGACCCGAGCGTTGTCACCGAGATCGGCGTCGGTTGCGTTCGCACGCCACACATTGGTGCCGTTCAAAGCCGTTTCGGAGATTCTGAAACTCGCCAATGACTTCTCAAACTTAGGCGCGTTGTCGTTAACGTCCAGAATAACAACCGGCAGCATCTTTGAAGCGGATTTTTGCGGTTTGCCCAAATCGAACACGCTTATATTGAGATAATATTCGCTCTCTCGCTCGCGATCCAGATAACCAATTGTGTTCAGGTCGCCGGTGTCCGGATCGATGCCGAAGACGGAATCGCGGTCGCCGCTTGAGATAACAAATACGAGCTTGCCGTTGTAATCGAGATCGCGATCGCGAGCGCGTATCTGAACGAGAGTTGTGCCAATTTTGAGAGATTCGTTGACCCGTATCTCGTTCGGGAAATCAATGAACTCAGGCGCGTGTACGTTTTCGCCGTAACGACTCGGTATTAGGGTGTACTCGTCGTCACGGGATGGCATATTATTCCTCTCGGCCGAGGCGATTGCGTCTGTCAGTCTGCGCGCAACACCGGTATCGTGGCACTCGAAAGCGCCAGCCTCATCTGTCAGAATTCTCGCTTGCGAGCCCAAATTTCGCTTGGCGTTTACGAGATGCATATGCACGGGATTGACGTCCGCAAAGTGCGTGCCATCGGTGGCGGTGATGTTGACCGTTCTCTCGGTGACCTTGATGTCGGATAGGTCGCAGGCAACCGAGAGCACGCCGCTGGCCGAGTCGAGGGTAAAACAACCGTCCGAGTTGCCGGACACGATGCGATAACTGATTATGTTTCCGGCGTCAAAGTCGATCGCTGACACGGTTATGATCTCGGTGCCGATCGATACGTATCGCGGCACGTGACCAACACAGTCGATTCGCTCGAACTGCGGCCGATTGTCGTTCACATCGCGCAATCTAACTCGCAATTGCATCTCGGCTTGACGACGATAGGGCAGGCCCCAATCGCTTGCGCGCACGTGCAGCAGGTACTCCCTCTTCATGGTTTCGTAATCGAGCACCTGTTTGGTCTTGACGATGCCGGAGAAATGATCGATCTCGAATGGGACCTTCTTGAGGTTGTCGATGCTGTAGGATATGTAGGCGTTCTCGCCCGAGTCGCGATCCTTCGCGGTTACTCGCACGACGGACGTTCCGGCCGGCTCGTTCTCGTCCAGCCACACCTCCATTTCCGGTTGATCGAAGGTCGGATCGTTGTCGTTTGTGTCGACCACGTTAATCTTAACCTTGGCTGACGATTGCTTCCTCGTACCGGCGTTACCCTGATCGATCGCCGATACCGTAAGCGTGTAGAACGCCTTCTTCTCGGCGTCCAGATTGACGGACGTGTACAGCATACCGGTCTCGGCGTTCACGTAAAACTCGCCACCCTCGTTGCCGCCCACAATCTCGAGATAAACCAACGCGTTCCTTCCCTCATCCGCGTCTGTGACCTTCAGTCCTATAACCGGCGTGTTGACGGGTGCCGTTTCAGGTACTTTAACTTCGTAGATCTCGCGACTGAACACAGGCGCGTTGTCGTTCACGTCGGTTAAGTGAACCGGCACGAATTTGTAGCTGTAACGCTGCGGTATCCCCCGATCTGTTGCGCGCAACGTAAGATTGTAACCCTGTAACGCGGTCTCACGATCGAGCAGATGCAGCACCTCGATGTTGTACTCGTCGGAACGCTGTCCCCCAGCGGGCCGGACCCTGAAGTGACCAGCCGGATCCCCGCCCACGATATCGAGACTCGCAATTTGGCCGTGTACGCCTTTGTCACGGTCGAACACTTGCACGATCGCGTAGATGTCGGCGTTCGAGTTCTCAACGATGTCAGGCAGCTGGCGCACGTAGATCTCGGGCGCGTACAGGTTCACCTGACGTACCCTGATCGTGACCCTCGCCGTGCTTGCGTGGCTCGTGCTCACGCTACGAAACAGAGCGCCGCGATCCTTCGCCAGAACTACTAGCTCGTGTATCGCACGTTCCGCGTACCTGATAGAGAAAATAAAATTGTTTGCTAACGTACACAATTCTATTAAAAAAAAAAAAAAAAAAGAATTTGATCAGAAAAATTTAAATAATTGTTTTAAAGAATATTTCTTAGGCTCCGAAGTTTCTAAACTAATAAATATATATAGACGGCTCATGAGAGCCGTTCGCTGTGGATGCTGTGCGGAAATATGCTCTCATGATCGTCTCTATATGTTTATTAGTTTAAGTAATTGTTTCAATAATAATAATAATAATAATAATAATAATAATAATAATCATAATAATCATAATAATAATAATAATAATCTACGCGATAGAAAATTAATTTTTGAATCTAATTCATTGGATGTTGCACCTACCTGAGAGGCCTCGTGAGCGTAATTACGCCACTGACCGGATGAACGGCGAACTGATCGGTCTCTTCGGCGAAGCTATAATAAATCTCGCCGTTTCTACCGAGATCGGCGTCCTCGGCGATTACCCTGAGTATACTGCGATGCAAAGGCGTGTCTTCCGTCACGGTGGTCTCGTATTCGATCGGATAGAACAACGGATTGAGATCGTTCGTGTCGAGAATTGTCACTATCACCGTGGTGTCCGCCTCAAGCGTGACCCCTCTGTTCCTACCGTCGCGTTTGCTCGAGGTCGCGCGCACCTCGAGCACGTACCGATCTTTGCGCTCCCGATTCAGCACGTCAACGTTGCTGGTTCGAGTCCGTATCAAAAGAAAGCAAAAATCACCGACCGTGCGTTCTTCCGCTTTGAAGAACTTGTCGCGATCGCCGCTCATTATGCGAAACCTGATGTCAACGTCACTGTCCGCGGACGCGAGCTTTATGCCCATTCTTTCCTCGGGCGCGACGTAAGTCTTGCCGATAGAATTCTCGGGAATGGAGACGTTGTAAACGGGCTGAGTGAAACGGAACTCGAGTTTCAACGGGGAATTTGCGTCATCCTCGATCGGGGTCGGTGGGGTTGTCGCGGTGCCGATCAACGTAACCGACGATTTTATCGATCCAAAACCACCACCGCCGCCATCACCGCCGCCACCACCACCACCACCTCCGATCCCACGCGGCGGCAGAATGGTCGTCATGTCGGAAGACGAAGAGCCGGCCGTGGCCGCGAACAGCCATAGCCACAACCACGGCCAGGCGTGCAGCACGCGCTGTTTCATCCTACGCATGTTGGTAACGCTAGCTCATCGTCGGTGCTTGTTGACAGACGCTCCCAGATAAACGTTTGCCCTTCACCAGGCAAAGCGAGGCCTCTGCGAGAATTCCGGCTCCGTCTTGTGTATCTCGATGGCAATCACCTGAAACAGCAAAACGCCGTCCAAAGTTAGATTGAGGAACGAGTTAGGCGAAACTGGAAGTCAGTAGTGTCTGGCATGTGAATAGGTACGGCCGAGCGCGGTAAGATCCGAGAGTTATCCTCGACGACAGCGACTACGGTCTTCTAAAGTCGATCGAGCGCGAAGAGAAACCAGGCTGGTTTAGCCTGGGAGAAGTCGCAGAAGCGAAAGGAGAGAAACGGAGACGCGAAACTCCTTTTCGGTTGTTCATCGCTTATCGATGGGCAGATACAAAGCGGCAAGAGATAGATCAGTGGAGTGTGAGACGTTGCGCAGATGTACACTGTCATATTAATGCACGCTCGAGAGAATAGCTCGATTATTTATTGAAGAGACTATCAACTTCGCTCGATTGTCCATTTCGCGGAATCTCATTGAACATAAACGGGACAAATCAAACGCGACAATATATATTCATCAGTTCGCTTTGATAGAACGCAATTGTGTGTTTCAAAAAGAGGTACAATAAAATATTCACACACATACAGAGAGAGAGAGAGAGAGAGAGAATCGAATTAAAATTCCATCGACATTTCTACTTTTTCCTGAAAAAAAAAAAAATTCAGGTTACATTATTCTCTTATGAGAAAAGTTATGAAATGAAAATATATATAAACAATATTAATATTTAAAATAATAATAAATATTTTTACAATATTGTCAAACTACATTTTTGTTCTAGAAATGTACAGAGACTATAAGTTGATTACATTTTATAAATAATTACAATAATATTTTCATTAGCGCGTTCAACAAAAAAAACATGAAAAGCGTCATAAAAAGCAAAAGGCAAAGTATCTTCCGCAAAGAAATATCGATGCACAACCGCGCGTCAGCCAAATGTATCGAATTCTCATGAATCTAGCGAGCGCGCGACGATTACTTCTCGCCTGACAGTTTCAGGATCCAAGTCCCGATATCAGTAACTGGTGTCAAAACACAGACGGATCGGCGATAGGGGTGCCGGGAGATTTTGCCTATCTTCGCTCGCTCTCTAATCTTGACCAGCGCGCGCAATACCTCTACACAGCTGCGTTTGACACGAATCGCTGTATCTCACACCTCATATTTGATTTGAGCTTGGATATTGATACGTGTTCACCGTGTTGGAAGACAGTAATGTTTCGCAATTTCGAATACCTAAACAACAATTGCGAGCACAGTGAAGACTTTTCGTTGACAGAAGTCTCTTTAAAAAAGAGTCTCTTTACGAGAGTATACGGAAATAAGAATTAATTTTAAGATATATATATATCCGCTGTTTATTTCTCTTCGTTTTATAACGAGAAAGATAATCTGAACAAAAAGGAATACAATCGTGTTACACGAATCGCGCGCTTGACGACTCCTTTCTCAGTTGTATAATTATCCCTCAGAGATAAGACGAGAGAATGGCGGATTGCTTTGTCGTTCGTGAGCTGCGATGTCGCGCGAAGATAGAATTGTTTTCACTGTCTATTACGGCACTCTAACGGCCGTTCCGCGTGCGGAAATTTGCAAAGCTACCAAGTCAATTTTCGCTCTTGAGGTATTGGCTTTAACAATAAACGAAAAAAAGGAAAAACTGAACTTCAGGAATTCTATTAGGTAAAATGTTTGCGAGGTAAAATACCGAGACTCTTGAGACGCGCTTTCGGTCTCAAGAAACGTTTTGCGCAAACTCCAACGCCAATTACACAGTCGTCGATTCGTAACCGACGTAATAAAAAGCGCTTAAACGCCAACGTATTTTTCCTCCTCTCCGCAATTCCACGCTGCACCTTCCCGCGATAATGCGCTCGGTGAGCGCGCGCGCGCGCGCGCACGCACGCAAGTAAGTAAAATGAGGCGAGCGAGTCCGCGCGCCAGGTTGGCGCCTTTGAACATTATTCGCATTACCGTTGCTACCGCGTCCGAAGCCTTGCACTCAACCTTGAAAGCTTTGCCGACCGGTTGACATTCCCGCCGCATTTCCAATCTCGGAGATCGTTAATCGCGAAAATAGTTCTCTTTTTGTAAACAGGTCAAAAATTGCAAACTGAGAATGTGTGTAATGAGAATTATCCAAAGCTGGATTTAATATCGTGGATGCATATATTAAAAGTCAGCGAGATTAAATTC